ATCAGTTCTGAGTGCCACCTGCAGATCACTGTGCACGGCCAAACCGGAGGACGAGCCTCCTCTCTGATGTTACAGTCATCCCGGGGCCCGCGGCTTCTGCTCCTCTGCCCTCTTAGAATGCCTGACAGCACAGGGCGATGCGACGGAGAAAGGAGAGGAGTTCTGTGCTTCACATCTACTCTTTCATTTACTTCTCTCGGTCATCCTGAAAGTATTGCTGTCTTTAGCTTACCTTTCATGTAAGGGGATTGAAATTCAGAGACAATTAACTATTTGCCAAAAGTCTTATAGGCTGCAAGTGAAGGAGTCAAGGTTTGAACTCAGTTCTGTGAGCGCATCCAGACCATAGCAGTAAACACTCATAAACTTACTGCCCATCATCGTGAATTGTACACAAGCCCCTCCTGTCTAACTCTGCATGAGCATAGGCTTCTCTGGCACTGTCGTGCCTGTTAAGGACCACACTCCTCCTCCCCCTCTCCCAGGACAGCTGATGTTCTCCAGGGCCCAGGACCCTAACAGGCAAAGCCATCTTGGTTCCAGCGCAGGATTCAATTCAAACCCGCCTTCTCCCCTCCCAGGGGAGAGCAACCCTGGTATCTGCCCTGCAAAGTGTGATCTCTGTAACTTACAGTCCAGCCTTGGGAGGGTTTAGAAAATTTTCCTGTAAAACAGTGGCTGGAACATGCAGAGAACTGGAATGAAGCCTCCACCTGGGCTTCAGGACTAGATCTGTTACATTCAAATGCATGATATTGAACTTACTATAAAATTCGCACTATTCCAAACTGCCAGAAATGATAGTTTTATCTAGAAGTAAGTGAGCAAAGTGATGACTTCGTTGGCCCCAGTGCCAAAATCTTAGCTCAGTGCTTCTCAGATGTTTTGTGTTCAGGACCTCTTCATACTCTTACAAATTATTGCAGAACCCAAAGAGCTATTGTTTAATCTAAAGTTGAATCTATCAATATTTACAATTTTAGAAGTGAAAACGGAACAAAGTTTTAAATGTTTATTCAGTAAAAATTATAAACCTAGCACTCATCAACAGAAATAGCATATTGGAAAATAATATATTTTCCAAAACAAAAGGTATTTAGTAGGAGTGGCATTGTTTTACATTTTTACAAATCTCTTGAATTTATGATTTAACAGAAGACAGATGAAAACTCACATCTGATGCTGCCTCCAATCTGCGGTGATATTGAACATCATGTCGCCCCTGAAAGACCCCTGGTAAACTTGTGAGAGGACAGGGAGGAAGGCAAAGAAGATCTTATGACCATAGTTTTAACCTCGTGGGTTTCCTGAAAGGGTCTCCAGGACCACCCACCCTCCTGAGGAGTCCCTGGACCACACTTTAAGAATCACTGTCTCAGCTTAAACACGTGATTTTTTTTTTCTTGTGAGAAAAGTTCATCCAAGAAATATCTAAGGATTTCTGTTCTTGATGTAGGAAGTTGGTGAGAATGAGGGTAGATTTCAAAGGGAGTGATACCCCAGCGACTGATTTTAGGAAGAAAGCCCATGAGAGACATGTGGGCACATTCAAACAGCGCTGCAACCCTGCTGGGCTGTCACAGAGGTACCACCCCACGTATCTGGCTGGGATGGTGCACCGTAGCCCCCAAGCAGGGCCAGGAAGAAGAGACTAACAGAGTGGTACCCAAATCTCTGCTGCCCAAAGCCCAGGCGATGCCAGAGTCAGTGGCTGGGAGAGCGGCTCAGAGGAGGAGGGGGAAACCCAGCTCGGGGGAACCTCAGCCACATCCTGAAATTGCAGCGGCTCATTCGTTAGCAACTCTGCCAATAATAACAATGGTAACAGTAACATATACTACTAACAGTGGAAGAACAACCATTTATTGAGCGCTTTGAGCCAGGCAGTGTGCCAAGCACTCGACAGGAATCATTTCATTAATCCTTCACAACCAACCCTTTAAGGTAACTATTACCATAATCCCTTCTCTACAGACAAATAAAGCGAGACGGGAGGAGTTGGAGTTATCAACCAGGGTCACAGAGTTCCTGTGGTAGGTGAGCCACAGTCTGAATTCAGGTCTGCCAGACTCCACAGACGCCCTGCTGCCTTCCAGCCACACCAGGTAAGCAAACTCCTGACGGAGAAAATCTCCAAGTTTGAGGGCAGGAGGCATGAACACTACCGCCTCCCATGGGACGAAGCATGAGGACAGAAGAGAAGACACTTTCCTACTCCAACCAGCCTTCTGGAGGCTTCAGGGCTGAATTGTAGTGAGGTCTTTAAAACGGGGGGAGAGGTGGGAAGCCCCCAGAGGTGACAGCTCTTGGTACATGTCCCCTCCTCTTGGTTTCCGGCTCCCTCTGGTGACCCTCCCCACCCAGCTCCGCCCCTGCCAGCCGTGGGCCATTGTTGCCACCCGCCAGGAAGTGCAGGCATTGGCACTCCCACCTCTACCCACAGCCCTCAAGAACTACACCCCTTCAAAGCTCCAACTTGGAGTCCTTCAGAGCCCTGCTCCCAGCAGACAATCTGGCCCAAGGCCACCTCCACATCCTGCCCCTTCTGAGCTCAGCTTCCCAGAGGTGCAAACTTCCCATAAGCAAACTCAGCCCTCCACCCCCATTCCCTGAAAAAGTAAACAGGCGATGGTGTGAGAATTCTCTTCCAAGGCATCATACCTTCTCCCTAACCAGAGGCTCCGAGGAGTTGAGCTTTGCACGAGCTTTTAATTTGCGTGCAGACAAGCACAAAAGACCCAACCGGATATACCTGTTATTGCCCAATGACCTGAGAGCCCGAAGTTTATGTTAAGCCCTGGGTTAGGGCTCGGCTTGCACGCAAGCCTCCTCCGGGATTCCTGCAGGCAATTGAGAGGTGGTGGTGGAGAGGAGAGAGGAACAACTCTGAAGTGACAGCACATAATTTAATTCCCCCTAAGCTTTCCAAGCATGCAGACTGTTCCTTTTTTGTCAGCATATAACCTAAGTGATTTGTTCTACTCAGGCAAGAAATGTCTAATTTAAACCATATTGCAGCTAAGCCTTTGGTGGAGAAAGAGAGCTCCCTGCAGCTTGGCTTGTGTGTGGTGGGGCGGGATGGCAGATGAGGCAAACCAGACTCCGCCGCCCCCGTCTTTCTTGCCCAGGTCATGATTGGAGAAACGTGCATGCCTGGGCTTTAATTACCACTCAGTCTTCTGTCTCGTGCTTCATCCCTCGTGAATGGGTTTAATTTCAGTAAGAATGTTTACAGGAGAGTGTCGGCTTGATGTCCCTAATGTCCTCGGTTTGGGTTCCATCTGAGCCACTGGTAGCAGTGGGACTTCAGGCAAACCCCTTAAACACCAATCACTGTTTCACTGTCTTTTCCCTTCTCTGAAAAATAGCTGAGTGGGTGCAGACCGACATATGTTAGTGGAAAGTGATCTGGTTTAGGAAGAAAGAGATCTGTGCTTTGCCCCTAACTAGCTGTGGATTTGAGACAAGGGACTTTTCTCTGGGCATCAGATTCCTCATCTGTTTTTAAAATAAGGCAGTTGGGTAAGATGGTCTTTAAATTTCCTTCAGCTCTAAAAGACTATGAATGTCCTAAATCACTTCCAGTTTGACATAATCATAGTCATTATTATTCCAAATATCACTATCATTTATTATTATTATCATCTGTGAGTCTCTTCTGTAATTCCAAAGGTTTTGCTAGCCAAGCAAATCTTATTTAAAAATTCTTTTTAAAAAATACTTTGATTTGCCCAACTCACATGAAATAAGGAGGATTCTCACTGCCTTCCCTCGCCCCTACCCCCAACCCTGTAAGATTTGATGTGGAGGGTCTATGTCAGTCTCATTCCCCATCAGATTATCAAATTTCCCCCAGAGCAACACCAGACTATTAAAAGTGGTCTTTAAATACAGACGCCATTTCAAGGCTGTTCCCTCAGCCAACAATGCCCCCTCCCTCTCTCTGCTGTGAAAATTCTCGTTCCCTTTCCCTCCCCTCCCAATTATGGAATGGATTGTTTTCCCCTCTGGATCCCTTGAGCAGTTTATTATTCCATTGACTTTATTCTCTCCAGTGTTATGTTTGGTCTCATATCCAATACATCTCTGCTCAGCTAGATCCTCAGGACCTGGAAAGCAGGGACGTGGTCACGTGCACAGCCCAGTCTCCCCGCTCTGCTTCTTCCCTCCCCCCGCCCAGCACCTGGTATACATTCAGTGTTCATAGAGGAATTAAATTGTTGAACCCTGTGGATTTCATCATAATGGGATAAGAATGCTCCTTGGGTTAGAAGTTCACAGCCAGGGCTGAGCAACACAGATCCCCATCCCCCACGGAAGCCCAGTTAGACTGGGAATCAGAGAGAGGCTAAGGTTTGGGGTGATGCTTGGGGGTCCCAGGAGAAGGCTGGCTTTTTGGTGATAGGCAAAGTTGGTCGAGCCTCACTTGGTAAGAGGTGCCACATACTTCCCTCTCCTTAGCCAGGCTGAGAGCCAGCTGGGTGACCCTCCTGTCAGCATGTTTTGTAAATGGCACCCAACTCAGATTACTTGGCAGTTTTTCTGAAACCTTAAAAAAAAATTGCTATTCAGTTATATTTGCCCATTCTTCCTGCATATGGTAACTACGTTATAAACATCTCCATTTGCCCTCCTCTTTCTCCAAGGTGGATCCTTGAATGCATCTATGCCTTTGTTGCCGTTAGTGTAAAAGTCCTGTTTGGCGGCATCAAGTTCTGCATGGGTTTGTCTTTTCTTCCTGAATGTGAATTCCAATTTAAAGTAAATTCCTTGGTTTTTATTAGGTAGAGATTTTGCAGAAAACCTGATTCTTATTTTAAAACAAATGAGAGTTCGACAAGTTAGCCTAATTAAGAAGTTTGGGTGCAACGCTTTTAAACACAGTGGTGGAGAGATACAGAGAGCTATGTTATTGGAAAGATTCAGCAAAGCTTCTATGATAAAAATGAACAAACAGAAAAACTTTGTCATGAAGAGCAGCCAAAAACCACCAAAAACCAAGCAGTAAAATCTACCTTTAATCATTGCCCTCCCGGGGATGATGGCGTCATGAAAGCTGCAAGTATTAAGTTTATTGAAAAGCTGATCATCTTGGTAAAATATTCTAACTGTTGAAAGAATCAAGAGCTAAGATAACTGTGTCCTTGAAGGTGCCTGTTTTCCTTGAAGTATGAGAATTTTCTCACCTAAGATATTTGAAGAAGAATTTTTGTGGTTGTTGCATGTAGTCACCAGTCCCCAGTCACTAAGAGCCAGAGGAGGAGGAGAGGTCATTCATGGTGGCCAGGAGGACACTGGGTTGGAAAGTCAATGGAGAGTAGTTAGTGTCTTTTTCTTTAACAATTGGAATAAGCATGGCAAACGCAACTTTGCAAACAGTCTCAGAGAGTGAGTAGAGAGAGAAGGCTGAGACAAGTTAAATAAACACTTGAGAACTGAGCAGATAAAACCTGTTTGCTGCCACAAGTGCCATGGGGGAGCAGCATTCCTGAAAAGGAAGGGAAAGGAATGAAATCTCAGGTCCCAGAGGGGAGAGGCAGCTAAACGCCGACCTTTCCCCTCCCAGCCTGGCTGGAATGCCGGCTTAGAGAAAGAGGAAGGGTTGGGGGATTTTTAGTTTTAGTTTAGACGTCTCAGAAATGATCGTGAACATGACAAAGCCGACTGTCCAAGACAAGCCGGGGACTGAGGAAGGTGGTGGTGGGTGGCAGCTGGTAGGTGGGGGAAGACAGTGTCTCCAGGGTTTAGGTCAATAGATCGGAGCAGAGAAGTGAAAGTGCAACAAGAACAGCTTTGGGGAAGAGTCGTTTTCCTTTCTGAATCTGAGAAGGGAAATTTGGAGCCCAGGAGGGCATGGGGGAGGAGGGGAGAAGGGCCAGGAATGCTGGGAAGCTCTGCGATGTCTGACCTTGTGACCTCCGCCAGTGATCTCTGCGATGATTGTGACATTGAGTGCACAGGCGTTGCTTCACCTGTGCTCTAAAAAGGCCATTAGTTAAGTGTCCATTTATCAACACTAGGCAAAACTGGCTTTGGTTGCACACAACAACTTGCAGTATCTGGAGGCTTTAAGGGTTTCTGGGACATAGGGGGAAGCAGGGCCTTCCCTGAGTCCCCAGGGCCCTGGAGACACTTCTTAGAACCTTTGCTTGGAGACCCTGAGGATCCTGAAATGGGAGAGAACGTTTGTAGAATATATTATTACTATCATGCACCAACCACAGCCTCAATGCCCAACGAGCTTAAATCCCCTGGAATAATTAGCCTAGAAAATTGATGAGTCAAAATGGCCCCACAGCAGGCCCCGCAAGGTCGGAAGGGGAGGGAAAGATGAAACCAGAAAGCCAGTAGAATAAGTGTGTACATGCAAATAAGTACATGCAAAAACATTCCTCACCTGTGGTTGTTTGGGGAAGCAGTAATGTATGTGTCTACGTAGGATGTGTTTCAACATTTGGTCCAAATATGTGTTAAGAGGTCTGAAAACAACTCTTTGACCAACTCCCGCCATCTTGTTCTTATCCTGAAGGCAGTGTTACGTGGAGATCCAGTAGCTCTGAGAGGAGGGCCTTACATACACCAAGGATTTCCCAGTTTATCGCCACACACATGATGTAAACAGTCGCCTACAGGGCTGAGCTGGGTGACGTCCTTTCCACTTGGAATTATGAGTTAATTCCTGGCGGGGGTCTTGGATTTCAGACATTAGTCACAGCAAATTGCAGAGGAAAAGCAAGATGGTGTGATTCATGACCTAGAAAGAGCAGCAATAGCTTCTAATTTCCTCTTATCCTCTGTGTCACGTGATGTATTTCAGAAACTCACTTAAAATTGAGAAAATAAGCCATTCCTAATTGTACCTAAGGAAATTGCTCATTTATGAATCTAAGAAGATTAAAAAATCTTTCGTGTGTTTGTTTAGAATCTATGCCAATTTTTTTTCAGAGGCACAGACCTGGTTTTCCTTTTTCCTTAAAAAAAAACTCTGATAAAGCTAAATGTTTAAGAAAAAAAAAAAGAGGCCTTCGCATGCAGTGACCCACTAAACAATCTTGACAATTAACTCATCTCTGCTTTGAGTTTGAAACCCGTGATTTTTGCACTTTATAGGGTGTACCTTTGAGATGAATTTTTTTTAATGAACACATCGTTGTATTATTGGAGTTTCATATGACTCAATAGAAAAAAAATCATTTTCCAACTAGTTGCTTAAATTCCCATGACACACAATTTCCTCAGGTTGACTCAAGAGAATTTTTAAAAATTAAATTTTAAGCATATTGCTTGAAACTCTTTAATGTGTTCCCAGTGAATTTACAATGCATGCCCATCCCTTTAGTGTGGCCCACCTCATCTGGACCCTTACTCCCTCTCTTCAGGCATGACTTGTCGCCCCTTTCAGTGCCTCAAATGTCAGAGTTCTTTCTTGCCTCAGAGTTTCTAGGCTTGCTGTTTTTTGGGGGTTTTTGTTTTGTTTTTCTGCCTGGGAAGTTCTTCCCTGGTCTTTGCCTGGCTGGCTTCATCAGATATGCCTCTCAGAGCATCATTCATTGACCCTCCTCTGTAGGGCCGTGCCCCATCCCCACTCCACTGCTCTCAGTCCTATCACTCTCTCTATGCTCCAGCTGGCATCCTTCACAATCTGCTTATCTTGTTTCTCGGTTATATCTGTTTTTGCCACTAGATTTTATGCCTCTCAAGAATAGAGACCTTGTCTTTTCTCAGTGCTTGGCACATAGTAGGTGTTCAACAAATATGTGTTGCCTGAGTAGATGAATGATACAACATTGATCTGTATCTGTTTTTCTTCCGGGATTGTCTTTTTCAAGTTTTGGTATTGATTTTATGTGCCAGTTACTGAGAAGGAGAAGAGGGGATGGGCTTTGAGGGCCAAGGTCTGAGCCCTGGGGCACTCCAGTGTTCAGAGTTCCCATGGAGTGGGTGAGCCGGCAAACAAGTCTGAGCAGGAGAAGCCTGTGAGTTGGAAGGGAAAGAGGGGGAAGTGTTTCAGGAAAGAGTGGCCGACTGTAGACGTGCTGCTGCCGCTGAGAATCAATGAAGATGAGGACCAGGATGTGTCCATTAGGTCTTGAAAGGAATCAGGGATCTAGACAAGAACAGCGGGAGTGAGTGGTGGGGACTCACTGCAGGTGGGTGGAAGACGGGTGGGCCGTGAGGAATTGGAAGCAGAGAGTACGTCCAAGAAGTTTCGCCGGAAAGGAACCAGAGAGAATAGAGTGAAGGCTAGAGGGAACATGGGCTTAAGAGAGGGTTTTCGTTTGATTTTGTTATCTTTTATTTGTTTGTATTTTTAAGATGGGAGGTGACAGATTTTTTTTAATGCTCTTGAGAATGAGCCAGGAGAGAGAAAGAAACAGATGATGATGATGATGTAGGAGAGAAAGGATATTGTAGGAGAGAAGTGCTTGAGTAGTTGGGCCAATGTGGTTCAAGTAAGTTGTTGATCATTGCAAGCCATGTGGACTCTGCTACGGTGAAGGAGGGAAACAGAAAACAGATGCCAGCACATTGTGTGTGTGCGGGGTGTGTATGTGTGTGTGTATTGATTTGGGGTGGACCGATAAGAGTGCTGCCCTCAATGGCTCCTATTGTTTTAGTTATAAAACCAGAACATCAGCTGGGCATGTGAGAGAAGAAAGGGATGTGGAAGGGTTAATGAGAAATGAAAATATTTGAAAGAATTATCGTGAAAAGTAGGAAAGCAAACCGTGGGGAGGACTAGTAAGATTGCAGCGCTGAGTGTCCATTTGAGTTTTATCATCGTGAATTTGAACTGAGCCAGCTGGATCTGGGGATTTTCCCAACACTTGCAATGGAAATGTAAATTGTTACCACTTTTCTGGAGGGCAGTGTCCTTTGACCCAGCCATTCTAGGAATGCACGCTAAGGAGTGTTGGACATGTTTGAGGAGATGTATACACAAAGATGTCCAACAGAGGATTTATAATTGTTAGCAAATAATTGGAAAATATCTAACTCTTCCACAATAGGAGTTTGGATAAATAATGAGGTGTCCACACAGTGGGATATTTTGTAGCTGTTAAAGATGGTAATTCTGTAGTCTTTGATAGATTCGTAGATAGATAACTGTGATAAGTTACTGAGTGAAGAGAAATGGTTTTCAAAGCAGTGCAAAGAGTGAAAAACCCTGTTCGCTGAAGCAGGTGATCTTACAGGGTATTCTGGAGCTGGGATGCCCCTTTGAAGTTGTCCAGAATCAAAACAAAGGCCCAGGAAGGGAATGAAACCTTGGATGGGCAGACCCCTTCCATAAAGGACAATTTGCAGTGAGGGACTCCATTGTGGCCCTCAGCAGCCAACACTCCCCACAGCTGGGGGACCGAGCTCCTCTCTCCTGAGGGTGCGTGTGCGTGGCCAACCACAGCATCCTTACAGGCCTGCAGTTCCTCGGCTGCAGCTACAGAGAGAACAGGATATCCTCCTCCGGCTGCTGTGAGGAGCTGGGATGAAAGGAATGACATCCCTCTGTAAACCGTAAGGGACTCTCAGCGGTAAGGTGTGGTTACTCGTTATTATCTGTTATTCGTTCCCATCCTGCTTGCCTCACCTTCCCTGGGCTTAGACCATCACATTGTCTTTTTTTCCTTAGGTTTACTGATACAGAGAAAAAAATAAGAAGGAAAAAAATGGGTTAAAATCCTGAAAAGTCCCGTGTTTTTCTGCCCAGTGTATGTACAGGCCTCTGCGGATCCTGTCAGGAGTTTGGGCCTCCCCCACCCAGAGGTGGACCCCTCCGTGTCGGATAGGCTGCGTGGTCTGGGTCTAGGTCAGAAGAATGACCCCAGAGAGGCCTTGAGCCTTCCTTCCTTCCTCCCCCACTGAGACATGGGCCCACGGAATCCTTGGGGACTTAGAGCAGGGAAGGAAAGGAAAGCCACCTCAGGCAACAGCATTTCACAGCAGCAAGAGGAGGTTTGAGGAGGGAGTTGAAGCCCAGGTGAGAAACTGAGGCCTGGTTTACAGAGGTCACAAATACTTTCTCATGGAGAGTCAGACAAGGGAAAGCAGAGGAAACAGAACATCTTTTTACCTTTCCTAAGGAGATTTCCACCACCCTCCCTCCCGCCACGAAGCTAGTGAACCTCTCCTTAGAGAACGTGTGTGGTCACCGAGTGGAAGGGCTGAGCAAATTGCCTCCCTGCCCCCAGATGGTTTTAAATGGTAGCAGACAGGAGGCGGAGCACGCTAAGCATCCCGGCCGCGCTGCGCCTCTTCTGGCGCTGGTTCTGGAAGAGTGAGGGCGGCTTCACAGGCCCGGGGACTGCAAGTGAGCAGAGAGAGAGAGAGAAAGCAAAGGCAGTCACAGGAGAGAAGAAAATGGTGTCTCCTCCCAGAAACACTCAGCAGAAGGACAGGACAGAAGCAGCCCTGCTCTGGGCCCCTCCGTGCTCAGTGAAGTAGTGGCGTCATGAAACTTAGAGGGCTACAGGCCCACGGAGAAATCTAACCAGGCTTACTTGCGCCAAGGCTATGATCCAATGTGTTTATCCGGATTGTGGCTGCAGGATCTGGCTGGGTACCTGCAGACCTGGAACACGAGACCATCACTGAACACCGTTCATCGTACACCCTTAACCTGAAACAGGTTACCAGTCCATCATTACATTGAGTAGGATCCCAATTTGGAAAAGCAGCATAAAGAACTCTCAGTCTGCCAAGCGAAAAGACCGGAGTCCCAGATACAAAAAGTTAACTGTTTCTCTCAGTGGCGGGATTGTTCTCTTCTTTACACTTTTCTGTGTTTTCTGATTTTTTTTCCCTCCTACAATGATCATATGTTTCTCCTGTAATCTGAGAAATAAAACCCAAGGAGAGTTTGGTGAGATGAGCTGGTTCCGTGACTGTGAGCGCTTCTCATGCGGCCATTCACACGCATACATGGAATGAATACGTGTGTGTGCACGTGTGTTCCAAAGCTCTGGGCTGCTCCTTCCATTTCAACTAGGATCCTTTTTGTCTCTGGTGAGTTCTCGAGTCCTGTGTAACCTCAGACCCACAATTCTGGAGAAACAATCTCCTACGTCTGCTACCAAGGTACCTTAGTACCTTCCACCAAGGTTTCTGGCAGGTTGCCACTCCCGGTTCCACTCCCTCGAATAAGGCCACCAGGGACTCTGCTTTTGGTCTCCACTGTCACTCTCTGGGGACAGGAAGAGATGGTGGGAGAGCATGATGACTTGCTAACCCGCAGCTCTGCTCAAATGCCCTTTGGCAGGATTCACAGGTGGTATCACGTTCTGTAACATTCAGAGAGGACACTTCCAGAGATCCTGACCCTAAAATGGATGAGCTCCAGGGATCTGAGAGAGGACAGACTCTGCCAGCCGATCGCCCTAGGGCTGCTGGCACGCAGCTGAGGGCAGAAACAGGGACTGACTGCTTGATCCTGCAGATTCAGGTTTCATCCTCACTTTCAGAGGTCTGGATTCTGACACTGCTTCCTTTCCTCAAAGGTTAGTGCCATCCCTATTCTCAAAGCGCTTTAAAAGGCTGTTTAAACAGAACCGTGTGCTTGGCCAAGGCTTGTATGTATGTTTGTTCTCCTGTGCCCTTTTCCTGTGTGTCCTGGTGGCGCTGCTCCCAGTCTATTGTTACTGTCTTTGTAAAAGCCCATAAATTCTGAGCTGCCAGGGCGTTGTCTTTGGGGGCTTAATGCTGAGCATCACCACATACCTGTAAATGATTAATAAGCAGTGTGTGGTTAATAAATAACATTCAGCTCTGATATTAATAACAGGTTTTTTTCAAGCAGGACACAGCTGGTGACGATTTAGTGACACAGAGTCACCTTAGTTTTTTTTTTTTTTTTGTTAGCTTGGAGGATAGACTGAATACTGCCAGATGTCACCCTGCTAAAAAACCCAAAGTATCTGGGTCCTAAGAGAACCTGGAGGATGTGCACACAAACACACACACACACACACACAC